CAAACTTCGCAAGGCTATATTATCCGCATTTTACAACATTTCGCAACGAAACTTCGGAATATTACTAATTTTGTGATGCTCTTTCAAGCTGTGATAAATTTTTTGTCTAGACTTGTTGAAATCTAAATTTTAGTCAAAAGGTGAAAGGTCCATTGGCCAATCACACAGATTGTTTACGTTTGCAAATTTACTTGTCAAAATGAAATGTATGTATGTTCGCAAATTTCAAAACGAAATAATATACGGATGTCGGCTAAAGAAAATTGAAGTCTGTGGGAATAGCGCTAGGCCTAGGGCAATCTCCATCGTTGTCACACAAGTAATTTGCAGTCCGTATCTACGATATTTCGTAGCTTTCTCGCACACCTACAGATATAATTTATAGTTTCGACAGCGGTCAACCGTGATGTATTAAATGTTAAAGTTTCGAGCGATGCAGAGAAGAGAATATTAAAGGTGTCTAAAGCCATCGATCACTTCAGAGAGAACAAGTCCTGTTCATAAGACATAAGCATTTACAGCAATTCTCTCCTGGCACAAAATTGTTAGGTACAAAATGAAGAAAAAATCTATTTGTCGTCGATGAATTGATAAAAACGAACACGCTTGTGAAAGAGGCGCTGCTAACAGACAGCAATCCAACGAAGACACCACAGTCAATATCTCTAGAGCTTCGTGAACCAAGTTCGTAAATACCTTTATTGTTCGTGGCCTTAAAGCTCTTTCGAAATTCGAATGCAAAACTCAAAGAAACGCCTCTCAATAACACATCCGCCGTATTTGTATGAATTTTAGCATAAATTAGCATATTTTTTCATTTTGAACCAATCAGATTTCTCGTCCTCGTCCTCTGAGAGAACGAGTAAATACGGCAAAACATGGGGTTTCGTGCAGGCTGTCCTTTCTCTGATAGCCGCTAGCAGGCTAATTTTAGCGTATGGCACGCGCGTGCGAGTAACAACCCGATATTCTGAATTAACTAAATTCAAAATAAATATTTCTAGTCCGCCGTATTCAAACGAAACTTTCTACACGAAAGCACTTGAATACAATGAGTATTTCACTCTTATTGACTTAGTCTGAAGAGTCAGTTAGAAGGTATTCAATTTTTCTCCATGTGAAGTACAGAATGTTTGGCCAAGCGGTGAGTAAATATGCGATTGTTTTGGTTTCTGTAATGTTATGACGGCATTTGACCCACCGTTCGAAAGGTTGTTTTTTGAGGATTACAACGGTGGTTTTCGTTTCAAAGGGCGGGTGAATACTTGCCGAGATATTTTAATCTTCCCCACTCGAAAGTCGGAAATGTAAAAATAAACCGGACGGCATTGACATTGTTTTTGATCCAGTAGACGCCATGTACGCTATAGCGTACCTACTTTTAATTTTATGATCATTAATAAATTGGTCGTGAGTTTTTCAAAGACCTCAAATAGCACTCGTCCTTCTTGACTCGTGCTATTTTGATGCTCCTTGAAAGAGTTTTTCAAAGAGCATTGACTTTGAAAAACTCACGAGTGCTTGTTTTATCCAATTTATTAATAATCATAAAATTAAAAATGTGCATGTTTTATCCAAATTGTACTCGAAACCATCCTATTACCTATGCTAATAGACTTTCTCTCTTAAATAAATAACATTTACCTTTTTATTGTATAAAATAAGACTTATATCTTAGATAGATTGTTTAAAATCAAGCCTCAATTTTGTGCAAATCAAACTCGCAAGGAATTACCCATGTTGTATAGTCAGAAAGTATAGACTATAGGCTGGAGCTGAATGACCAAGCTTGGTGCACCCCACTTGAAAAATCGCTCCGCGTTCCCAGTCATTAGGCAAACTCGTATTCCAACACTAATTGCCCCAAAACCGTTGTACCTGGAGGGTAGATGTATCATTAAGGCTACGTGCCCATTTATGAAGCCAAGACTTTAGACTTACGGCCCTGGTCTTTCACTTTTGTAACATAACCAGCACTACGTCAGTCAACACTGTTTGGTAATGCAACAGTTGTATTCGGTACGAACATTGATTTGGTATTTGTCTGACCACCCGGATTCCTGGCACCCAACAGTTGTTGGTATTCACTTGCATTTAGGTCACCCAAGTGGTTCATTGCCAACTTGTAGCAATGGCTTCCGTTGTTGTGCTCTTCAATTATCTAGATAACGAAAACGTATCAGTAATTATTCTTCATTAATAAAGTTTTAACCACAGTTTGTTAAGTTAAGATGTTGAAAAAGGTAATCCGCGGGTAGGTGACGTTTTAACATACAGAGCTGTCACTACTGAGGCGACGTTTGAATTAAGGTGTTTGTGTGTATGCATGATTTATGGTCTCGACCACATGTTCGCAGGGGTTTTACTAATAGTCATGCGGATCGATAATGGCATGACCAAGAAGTACAATACAACACGCATGTAAACAAAGAGCACAGTTGCTTGGTAACAGGCCAGTGATGCAACAAGATTTTGTAATATTATGTTATTTTACAATTTTATGTCATCAGAAAGCTCAAGATATCGACTATTTAACAAATATAACTAAACGGAAGCGATGTGTCGTAAACGCGGCACAACTATAAAGCAAATTTTTTGCAAGAAGACAATACTGAAGTAAGTGAAGTATATGTAGTGCATATTTTCGTAGTTTGCGCGGGGGGGGGGTGTTTTGCCATGCCAGCACGACAAGCATGACAGCGAGCTCTCCACTGACCAATAGAGAGTTTACGATTCACGACGCGGCAAGAGAAGACGCGTTAGAAAGGCTTGGTAACTAGCGCGACCCAAGCCGCGTCGTCTTATTCTGTTCCCTAAGTTACGAAACACAACGCGCTAGCGTAAAATGTTTACTTTGGCAGAAAAGTTATTAGTTTTTCAAAATCTTTGTAATTTTTGTTTAAACACCACAGAAAATGCAATCAAAGGTACTACCTCATCCAAAATAAAAACTAAAAAGTTAAGAACTTAGATAACGTTTTCAATGTAAAAGTATTCGATACTCACTTGAAATTCGCAGCATAGTGATCACAACGTGAAATTGACAAAATTCGTCGTAGAATCGTCGACTACAAGTTGGAATTACACAATTTTTTTAATTTTAATTTAATTTTACAAGATTCGCCACACATAACAGACATAAATAAGACTAATACTTTACAAAATTTACATACAATTCGGGCAGGGACTAGCCACAGAGATAATCTCCAATTATGGGGTCCCTCACAATAAGTTACAATATATAACATTAAAACAAATTAAAATGTCAACAACATGTCCTCACTAATAAACTATCAAGAGACCAAGTTGAGTGGCATTTGACGCACACGGACTTAAATGTTCTAGGATTGTCCGGGTTGTATATTTATTCTAAAAGGTTTAAGTAGTAATTGAATAAGGAGATTTTAAAGTAAGCTAATGATCTTGAAGTGTCACGAATATTGCTAGGGAGAATGTTCCATACGCTAGGCGCTCTCACATAGAAATTGTTCTTGTAGCTAACTGTCCTGCATCGAGATACATTAAGAAGAATACCATTGACAGGGTCAGCGTTTCTAGTCGTCCGGGTGGTTGTTCGTATTGACACATTGACATCGTTGCTTAGAATACTCTTGTAAAGAAAAACTAAGTCTAGAAATTCGTGCCAATAGCAGACCGGGAGAATACCGATAACCAGTAGTCGTTCCCTGCATGTTGTGGCTGTTCTGTAAGGAAGGGAAAGGATGAATTTGGTCGCGCGACGTTGAACCCGTTCTATTGACAGTATGTCGCTGACAGTTTGAGGTGCCCACACCTGGCTGGCATATCCTAACTTGCTGCGCACTAAGGACAGGTACAACACTTTTCGCACGTGGATGTTATGCGTGTCGGAGGCTGTTCGACGAATGAAGCCTAGCATTGAGCTCGCTTTTGATGTTATTTCTTCAACCTGTTTCGTCCACTTGAGATCTTTTGTGACAACAATCCCAAGGCCTTTTTGATGACATAGTTGCTTCAGAGAACTATCCAGTAGTTTATAATTTGTTGTGACTGGTTGGCGACTTCTTGTGAAGCTCATTACTCCGCATTTAGACTTATTTAAGTCCATCTTCCAGATAGTACACCAGTTCACGAGATTATTGAGATCATTCTGCAGACTTTCGCAATCGGGTAAATCTTTCACCGGACGGTAGCACTTGGTATCATCGGCAAACATTGCCACAGTTGATTCGCCCGAGATGGAATGTGGAAGATCGTTCACATATACTAGGAAAAGGAGGGGCCCCAAGATTGATCCCTGAGGAACTCCAGACAGTACAGGGAGTGTACCGAGGTCTCACCCAGAACAGTGACTCTTTGGTAGCGGCCGGAGAGATAATTTTCAAACCAACTTAGTAGGTCACCTCTTATTCCAAACTTGTGAAGTTTAGTCAACAAAAGCTTATGACTAACCTTGTCAAACGCTTTTGCAAAGTCCAAATACACAGCGTCGACTTGGTTTCGACTCTCCAACGCTTGGTGAATATCCTGGAGAACGTGCAGAAGCTGTGAGGTGGTTGACTTGCCTCTGAGGAAACCGAATTGTAGATGGTGGAGTTGAGTGGAAATGTGTGATACGAGTTGGTTGTAGACGCAACGTTCGAAGACTTTGGAGACCAGGGACAATAGAGATATTGGTCGATAGTTTGATACATCTTCAGCTGGACCTTTCTTTGGGATTGGAACAATATTGGAGAGTTTCCACTCATTTGGAAGTTTACCCAGAGATAAACTCTTGTTGAAGAGATCACATAGCGATAAATAAATACTGGACGCACAGTTTTTGAGGAGTTTCGCTGGTATTTTGTCAGGGCCAGTCGCTTTGTTTTCATCGAGAACAGCAAGAACGTGGTAAACTTCCTCGGGTGTTAAGGTGATGCTGGAGATGGTACATTCTGAAGTATCAGAGTTCGAGTCACTAGAGTTTGGAAAGGACGTTTCGTCGTCAGAAGGTTTGAAAACGGAATAGAAGTAGTGGTTGAGTAAGTTGGCAATATCCGCTGGGTTCTTGGCTGAGCTTGTTACGTCGTCAGGATGAGACCATGACATTTTGTTGGGAATGTTCGAGTGCTTGGAAACGGACTTGAAAATTGACCAAAACTTCTTTGTACTCGATCTCAGTAGGGCTGGGAGAGATTCAAGGAATTTCTTGCGTTTCGCGTAGATGATGGACTTTGTTTTACGTCGCAACTCCCGATACTTTTCCCAGAGGCTGGAGCACGATTTCTGTTTGGCCGCTCTTCTGCAAGTGTCTTTCTTTTGAAGAAGATGTTTAACTTCGCCGTCGATCCACAAAGGTGTGGTACGTCTTTTGAAGTTTTTTTGCGGGATATGTTTGGCAGCAGCACCAAGAAACAAATCTTTCCATTTCGTCCAGTCAGCATCGATATTAGTGGAATCACCTGGAGCAAGATCAAGATGGCTCAGAGTCTCGTGCAAAGCGTTCCAGTCAGCATGTTGAAAGTCAAGCATGTTGCAGATTCAGTAGATGGATTCATATGTGACGATTTCGGTGGAAGAGTTGAGTTCCAAGTAAGGTCAGGAAAATTGAAATTACCGGTGATTAGGACCTTTTCGTAATTTGCCGTTGTTTCAAGAAATGCCGTGAACAACGCTAACCATTCGTGACTATCACAACTAGGCGGTCGGTAACAGACACACGCAAGACATTTCTTACAGGTAGACATATCGAGTTCGATAGCGACGATCTCTAGGCGATCGGATCAGTTTGGACCATTCCTTCCAGCAGTAATTCTGGTGTAAGGGACGTCAACACGCAGTGCTATGAAGACGCCACCTCCGCGTTGGTTAGCTGACCGATCTTTCCTTACGATGTTGTAACCTTTGGGAAGAATCTCTTTGTCCGAAAAGTTATCATTGAGCCATGATTCGGTCACAAAAATTAAATCGAGTTCCTCAGCGTAAACCAGGTCTTGAAAGGATTTTAAATTGCTAGCGTATGATCCGTCAGGTAACTTTCTAGTGCTTCG